CTATTCAATTGTTTTGCTTTTAACAATTAAGAATGGCAGATAAAGCAGCACCATTCAGTATTTTGTTTAAGAATTTATTTTCTGAGTTCTGAACCATATCACATTGTACAAACATTGAAAATTGAATTATACAATGGAAAGTATGATCCGTAGCAAGCTATCTAAAAAATATTACTCAAGGAATCATGATTTTTCATCCCATATATTTGATGAGTACACAGCTGTAAGAATTAATGACTCCAGCACTTACAGGGAGTTAATGGATTTCTTTAGTTGTTCACACCCAAGTTACTGGCAAACTGTGCAAATTATGTAAAAAATTACCTGATTCAGTTCTAGGCACTGAACCATACACCTGAGCAATGGGCAATTTAAGTAAAATTTCTACTTCAGGAAAGCAACAAAATTCACTACTCTTATTAATCTTGATATGTTAATTTTATAAAGAAGAATGGCTTATGCATTAAAAAATGATACTTGAAAATTTTCCAATAGCATATTCTCCTGTAAGGAAATGCTGTTAAAATGACAGCAAAATCTTGGATTAAGACATATCCATACTTATATAAAACAGAATAAAAAATTGAGTAATTTAGATTTTTCTTAAATTAAAATAACACTTTAAAACCAGTACATAACCTTATGAATTATAACATTACAGCAAGGAAAAAAAAATATGACAGAACAAAAGTTTATGGCTTTAGCAAACATTCCAATTACATGTGACAAGTTTTCTATAACATTATCTTTAAAGAAAATTCAAAATTTTCATTTTTTAAAATTCAGAACTGAAACATAGTACACCCCATGGAAATCTATTGCTCAGTTTTGACCATTTGCAATACCTTGCCTTCATGGATGTTGCTCTATTCACCAAAGTCCAGCTGCAACTGTTGCCCTTACAACTAACAGCCATGTTGTGTTTTGGCAAACTGATTTTCTCTGTTAAGTTTTCACACTTTTCACAAAGTTGTACGCTCACTGGTTCTAGTCAAACCCAAAAGGCACATTTCTTCTGCACTTCAAAATAAAAATATTGGCTGCATCTATGTGTCACTGAAAAAGAGAGGAAATGTTTCATGGGTAATGAATTCTCATGAGGTTGCCATAATGTTAATTCATGTGTTTTACTTCTCTGCGGCAGGGATCTCTGTTAGATTGCAGCAGTACTGGGGGCATCCCACAGCTACTGGAATAGTGCAAGAGTAGTAGCAACAATGTTCATTGCTGCTCTTGCTAGAAATAATAGATGAGGATACTGATAGCAGAACTGGAAAAAATTAGTACAGGAAGCATGCAAGCTGGTGTGAGAAAATTTCCTGACAAGTGCAAAATTGCAAGTTATGGAATATTTCTCTAAGGGAAGTGGTAGCACCTTCATTGCTTAAGATGCAAGAAGATGTAGAATGAAACAGGACAAGTTACTAAATATTAAACTGTAGGAAAAATTTAGATAAAGGGACTGAAAAATATATTAAATCTTTCTATTGCTAAATTTTTCATAAGAATAATATAGAAGAGCATTAAATCTATATAATTATTTTCCATGCATTCTTTCAAATAAGACATATCTTCCTCCATGCCTCCCTGAAGTCACCTGCCCTGGCCCACACACCTTAATGAGTGTGGTCATAACCCACTAACTGCTGCTTCTGTGCTGCCAGTATTCATGGCGTTTCAAAGTGGGAAATACATGCTGAAACAACTCTGTACCTAAGAGAATGATAGTTAGATTAATTCAGTTTATATATGTATAACAGGTGTAAGTTTAAATAACCACATTCAAAATTTTCTGTGTTTGCAGAATTCATGTGACTGTTAGGGTACAAAATGTCCCAGATTGCATTTACAGACCATATCACCTGAGGTCAGTCTAGGCAAGGCTATCCTAAATTTTCTCAGCAGATTGGAATTAATTTTGCTCTCTTCTTCCTGTGTCTGGAGTGACCAGCTCAGGCTTAGAGGGCAGTTAGTGGAACAAGATCTGGGAAATCCAGCAGAGATCAAGGAAGCTGGTCTAGGGAAGTTACAGCAAAGTAAGAGACTTGAAAATAGCTAGAATGTGTCTATATATTTCCAGTAGTCTGGGTTTGGGTTTGGGATGTGTCCAGGGAGGAAAAGGACACCAATGATCTGGTGTAAGTGGACACTGCTTCTGCCTGTCCCTCAGGAGCAGCAGGCTGGAGAGTGCCCATGAGAGCTTCCAGAGCAGGCAGTCTTCTGGCTGGAGAAGCAAAAGAATGAAGGTTGCTACCCTAAGAAATCTCCTGTTTTCCTTTGGCCTAAACCGAGTCCACCTACTGCTGCTGTGGCCTATAACATAGCCCTAAATCTAGAATGGCCTGCTCACAGAGTGGTGAGCTGGCATCATTTCACATGGTGAAATGGTGTAACAAAAAACTGGTAGCATAATCCTGCACTTCAATATGGAATACAGTATAAAAATGGCAGAATAGCAGACTACTCAGAGACAAAATCCATAGTGATTATTGAGTACTAAAACCTTTTCCTTGGAATTAAATTATCTGACATAATATTTACCTCTTAGGGAAATATTTACCTCTTAGGGAAGGATCTGATAAGAATGCACATTTGAATTTTATTGTATTCTGATAGCTTTCTCGGTTGATTTGCAGAAAACAGTTGTACTCCACCCTGCAGTACCATATACAAGGAAATAGCAGCTTTAATGAACAATGAGGAATGTCCTTTGTGACCTTGTTCAGTAGAGCCTTGTTTAAAAGTATAACAGATTGTTGAATTATGACAGATTAATCTTCATGGATCTCTCAACTTTCTACTTCCAAATTCTACAAATGTAGTGTAAAGTGTAGTCTTCTTATTCATGCAAAGAGAATTTCAGCTCAAATTCTTCTATAGGAATTCAATATTTATTATCAATTTGTTATTACACTTGATCTCTGTCAAACACAGCTGGGTGAGGTTTATCCCATAGTTATTAGCAAAACATACATAATGAAAAAGTAAGGTCCATTGTTCTCATATTTTCAGGGTAACCATTTTTCATTACTTAATGCCTTTAAGTACTGAACTTCAAAGGCCATTACTGCTGTAAATATTCAAATCCTAAATAGTTTTCATAGAAAGATGGGCAGAGATCTGGAAGTGAAATGAGATTGCTTACTCTACTAGGAAAATGTCCTGTTCACAAGAACCAGTTTTCAGGAGCTGGCCAGTGAGGCCCTCTTCACTGAGCAAAGGCAGTAGATCCAAATCAGCAGCATTCCATTTTCTCATATATGCTTGTTAGCTTTATTCAGCTTTCCTCATCTACCTATGTTTGCTAGTCTGGTTTTCACTTTAGTTTCTGAAAGTATTGGATAGAATATATGACCAGAGATTTAGGAGGCTTGAAAATGTCTTTTAGAGTCATGAATATCAGTGCTCCCATATATCTCTTCTGGCCTTATATATTCTGTTTCTTACAAATGCTTTTATGGAAGCAGTGCCCCTTCTCATGTACTCTCATCTGCCTCTAACCTATTTGACACACTTCAGTAAAGGATTTGATCTCAGTAAAGTACTGAGATATTGCTGCTGGAGGCGACAGATATTTTATGAGTTCTAAATTCAGGAATATTATCACCAGGCATTGTACTAAACCAGAAAGCAGCCATTAAGCTTTCTATCACTTAATGCAGTGTTTGAAGTAAGTCATATGCTGATATCCCTGGAATGGTGTCAGATTAAATCTCCTGGACCCTGAGTCACTGGTCTATTTTATTGGACAGCTTCTCTACAGCTATTAGTGTGTTTCATGTGCAGTGGTTGGTGTTCTGCATCCTGCTGCCTACATCAGGCTGTTGACTCTCAGCAATTTTGTGTTTGTGACCTAATGGTTTATTTTTAGGTCTGCTTGCACTACTGTAGTGATCTCTGACTTTTCTTGGAATCTATTTAGCTCCTAAAATACTACTGACCAATCAGTAACTCCTTGCTTTCATGCCAAACTTTTGTTGAATTCACTTAGATGATAAATTTTATAATTCTGAAGCTTTATAGTGAACATTGATGACCTCTGAGCGTACATGGCTATAAATATATATATATATATATACATATTGCCTTATACTCTATGTTATGAAGCATTTACTGACCTTTTCATTAGAAAAAGTTTTAATGCTTTTATTGTTTATGACAGGCTTTGAATTCAGAAGGGAGAGGGCTTTGAGCTAGAGATGTGTCTTTTCTTGATCCCGTGCAATTCCAGAGAAGTTTAGCAGAGCTATGAGCTGCTAGAAATCACTGTTTCTTGTCTCATTCTTATGTTCTTCAGAGAAATGTTAGTATCCTGCACAAAAGAAGTGCACATAAACATTCTAAATGGCTGGGTTAAAACATACCACCAAAGGAAAAGCAGCAGAAGCAACAGCTGCCTGGAAACCAAAGGCTGACAGCCTCAGGAAGATAACTAGAAACAGACCATCTTATGAAAATAATTTTTCTGCCCCTCAGAAACCCAGCTGAAAAGATTCAACATTGGCTATAACAGTCTGTTCCTATAGTTTGAGACAATGACTTCCCAGTTTTTGCCAAGTGCATAGGACAGTGAAGATATCTGCAATGTTTTATGGATTACACTGGTGTTATCCTGTCTGTCTGAATTTTGTATTCATGGTGACCTGCAGCCCAGCCAGGGTCTAGACAGTAATCCAGCCTGCCTGCTCCCCTTGACTGCCAGTCCCTGTAGGCAGCCCATTGCCAGGTATCTGCCTCTTTCCTTTGGTACTTAATTGTGCCTGTCCCAGTGTGCTGTGAAATGGAAGTCATTCTTCCTGCATATGCTCTGCTGTGATCCTGGTGTAAATATGGATGGGCACACAAAACTTTCCTAAGATCCCAGAGGAAGCCTGAACAAGATGAGTTGTGGTCAGCAGTATAACAAACCTCACTCACCTCAGGAAGTCGTGGCAGTGCACATTTTTGTATGATGAATAGTTACTAGTATAAAACTAAGATCACTTTTGTGTGTTTTCCAGCTGACCGCAAGACTCCTGCCCATCTGGCTTCATAGTGGCTCAGATGAAAAGAAGAAATGAAAATCTCTTTACACAGAGGTGTGGGGAAAATTGCCTTATTGTGGTGTTTATGAAACTAAACAGATCCATGGGTGTAAGGGGTAAGTAGCACATCCTTCTCTGCACCTTTCAGTGGCCCTCTGCAGAAGTGAAGTAGTTGGCTAAAAAGATGCATTTGCTACTTTCCTACCAGTCCACATATGATTTGGTGAATGCTGCCCTTCATATACGCCTCAATAAGATGGACCAAATACTCTTCAGCAGGCCTCCAAAGGCATCTTGCTCTCTTTGCTGATTGAATATGGAACCTAATCCAGTTTTCCGAAGGTGGGTTGGATGGTATGCCTCATTTCACTTTTAGGATGTAATTGTTCCTGCCAGGATTAACTTGAAGCAAAGGGAACTGCAAGTACTGTCAAGGAGGAAGTGAGACAATGGCATGGAGATAAGGCATCTTTGGGTCTAACGTCAAAAAGTTAAACAATGGTCAACCAATTGACTAGGAGAATGTTAATTTTAGGTGCCAAGCAGGGCTGCATAGTCCATTTGCTAAGGCTAAGGTTCAAACTGAAACATTAATCGATTCAATTTAGAAAGTCTGAAGTAAAGTATCGTAAAGGTAGAGCTTGGGTGGCTGCATCTTCATACAGTACAGGTGATCAAAAGACAACAGTGTGTCCACAACCATGCTGTCCCAAGGGGAATGAGAAATAACAAAATGAAGAAAAGTACTAAGCTTCCACTTTTTTTTTTTTTTTTTTTTTTTGTTGTTGTTGTTGTTCCCGCTTACTGTGGCCTTAGAACTATTAATCAGTTTCTCACAGAGAAACTGAGTTGTTTTAATCTGCAGCCCGTGGTCACATCTGGGGGCAGTGTTTTCTGAAAGGGGCAAAGGGTCTGTGATGTGGGGAGGAGCAGTAAATTCCCAGGTCACTGGTGGAAGCAGGGTTTTGTTTAGTTGGTGGGACTTCTGTTGAGAGAGCGTGCCCATCCCATCTGGCTTGTGAGCAGGGTGGAGGGCTGTGTAGGTCCCAGCAAGTCAGTACTGCATGTGGAGGCCAGGGAGGAGGGCATGTGAGTCTGGGGAGTTTTTGGTGTGGCAGAGGAGTGGCTCCAGTTCCCATATTTTCTCCATGTGCTAGTCTGCTGCTGGCTGGGACAACGAAAGGAAAATTTCTGATTTGTGGCAAGCACAGCTGGCTCTGCCACATCAGTCAGGCAGAAAAAAGGGGAAGATTTCATCAAAGATTGTAATATATTCACCCAGAGATCCAGTCTAAAGTGCTGGTTGCCACAGTTAAAGATGTGAAGGAAGCTTAGCCTGTCATCTCTCAAGGATGTGCACAGAAGGAAGGGAAAGGCAGAGTTCACCCTGAGGCCAGGATACCCTGTGACACCCTTAGTCCTATAGATGAAGTGATTGAGGACTTTTTTTAGGGTTGAAAAATATGAGTGTATCTCTGATGGCAGTATACATTGAGAAGAGGAGAATATTGCATACAGTACAGTTTATTCCTCGTTTTCATTGATCAGAACAGAAAAATTTAAGAAATTGTATTAAGCCAGCTCTGTTAACAGGGAATTTATTCAAGATTGCAAACAGAGGAAATGAGAACCTAGGAGATGTCAAAACAATCACTTCCTCTGAAGCTGTAATCAATCCCTTCCTTGCATGTTCGTGTTGTGATACAGTTCTTCAGTTGCATAGCACTATGGTCTTTGTCTACAGGATTCACTGCACTGCACAATCAGTACAATGCATAAAAGCTATTAACAAACAAAAAAGAGATAAGTCTAAAAATGTATTCCAGCAGAGCTAGTTGGTTTCTATCCAAACAATCAGTACTAGTCTCCAAATAAAAATATCTTCATCCATCAAGAAACCCTTGGGATTAAAAAATCCACCTAGTTAAACAGAAAAACCAAATGTAAATATGTCCACAAAGTCTTGTTGCTGAAATATGTATCACTTTGCTAAATAAAACTGACATTCTGTGATATTGGAGAAGTGATTAAGAGCCCAAAGTGTATTCTTCCAGTGGAAAAAGCTATATATAAAAGAAAAGGAAACAAAAGAACTTTCAGTTCATTTGTCCCTATTCATGGTTTATGTGACAAATAACTACAAGCTCAGATGTTCCAGAACTGCAGGCTTTTTAAGTCACCTTTAACATTTTTTGTATTTGGTAAGGTTGCCTCTAAAGTGCCCTAACCCAGAGTTTTTTAACATGTGCCCAAGGGAGTATATATTTGTGGGTTCATTGGTCACATCCTATGGCTGCCATTGCCAGTTGCTGAGGTAGTTTACAAGAAGTATAAATACTGTCCAAATATTGTTTCTCCTTGTAAACAATTTCAAATGAAAGGGGTCAAGGCTGACATCATCAGGTGCTGAAGCTGTGAAGAGAGGCAGAGTACAGTTCAAGAGGCACCCTGTCTATCAATGTGCGGCTCTCATCATCAAAGTCCTTAACACTTTTTGCCTAGGTCTGTATAGCTGTATCCAAGAGAAATTTCTACTCCCATAGCCACCTTCTGTACAAGATTAAAACTTAGACAGGTATGCTTTCATATTTCTCCTCATTCTTCTCTTCTCCCCATTTCCTCCTACACAATCTTCTCCCTGCAGCAAGGAAGCCAGGGCTGGGCAGCAGGTGTAGAACAGCAGGGCTGTGGCCAGGGACAGCTGTGCACCACTAAGGGCAGAGACAGCACGGCCCCTGCAGCAGCAATTCATCCACAGGAACTGTCCTCCCTGCAAAAGTGAAAGGGGGAGGTTCCTCAAGGGAAAGAACAAAACTTATTTTCCTCCAGGAAAATAGAGACAGACAGGTAGATTCCTGTAGCCAGTCTGAAAAGATGTTGCCAAGAAAAGCAAAAGCACCCATGCAAATACCTCTCTCAGCAAGGCAAAAGGCTCCAATTTGCAAAAAGATATTATTTTCTGTGACATAGTATTTTAATTTTTTTTTTTGCCTTGTGTGCCTTCCCAGATGATCTTTTTTCCTCAAACACGACCTTGCCAGGAGATAGAAATCACATTTTCCAGCCATCTTCTTTCCATCCATAGCTTCAAGTATTTCTGGCTGAGGCTCTGGGGTGTTTTATCTGGTGGAGGTATGAAGTCCCTGTGCAGCCCAAGAAGAGCTCAGCTCTGCTAGAGAGCTCCAAAAAGACCCAGTATTCAGTGATCTCTCCAATTGACAGACCGGAGAGAGAGAAATGGTGAGAATAGCAAGCAGTCTACTGGACTGTAACCCCTGGTCTCACATGCTGCTGTGCAGCATGTCCTGCAGTCATCCTCCTGCATCCTGGGTCTCACTGTGCCTCTCTTCTTCTATGGGACATGCTAGTTTTACTCTGGCCTTGCACTGTCTCACTCTGTAGAAAACAACTCTCCCTTTTTGTTGGGTTAGGATGCTGCAATGGCCCAGAAATGATAGCGCCATGGGAAGGGGAAACCAGAGTCAAGAGGAGTGGGGGGATGTTCTTGGAATGGCAATAGTAACTGCTAACATGCCATCAGAGACAATGTGGCTGAAATTATTTGGTGCATCCTAAAGCAACAGTTCTGCTCATGCATGCTGCCCTTCTCTATGTCCTTCTCTCTCTTTCCTCCCTGCTATCACAGCTACAACACCAACCTTCTGCTCCTCAGCTTCACCTCTTGTTTCACTCCATGCAAGCCAGTTCAATCCAGAAGAATGTTCTACACTTAACTTGTTTTATAACCATAGGAAAGTTGTTACACGGTTTATATTTTTCTTGAAAATTGATGCTTTGTTTCATGTATTTTTAAGATCTACTGAGTATTTTTGTCACTTTTTAATATTTTAAACCTTTGCACTTTTTAAACATATAATGTAAAAGCTAAAACTCGCTGTTGGATGAGATCTAGTACAAGATCTTCAGGACTGGCCCAGAAATTCTTCCTGTTGCTCAGCTCTCATCTTGGCAACCTCTTTTGGACCCCAATGGGACCTGAGTCTTTGTCTTTCCCCTAACCTTAAACTTAACTCTAATGCTAACTGCAGCCAAGACCTGAGCTTTACATAAGGACCTCCAGCCTTGGCCTTTTCTCTGCCCAAACTTTCCATACGCATATCTGTTGTAGGTCCCCGCTCAAACTGGACCCTTAGGCTTTGTCTCACAGATTGCATTGGCTGTAACCCTGAAAGTGGCAATGCCTTTACTCAACATCACTCATTCCATCAACAAAATGAAAAGGGAAAAATTATTTGTGGTGCCCAGACTTACCTGTAGCAGCTTCTTGCAACTCCACATCAACTGCATCACAAAACTAACACCAGAGAAACCTAGCTGTAGCTAAAACAAACAAAAAAATAATTTCCCTAGGCCTCTCCTTTGCAGCCATACTCAGATTTTTGGAGTTAGGGGAATAACAAAGCCTATTAATCCAGTTAAGAAGTACTGAAAAGGGGTTTTCAAGAGCGAGTTTGTGCACGAAAGGTATACTTCCCTGAGAAGTCTGATCACTCGTTGGGGTAGATTTATTATCAAGGTTAACAAAGATGCAAAGCCAAGGCATCCAGTTGTGGTGAGGCTGTAAATGGCCTGCAGAGACAAGATTTGGGAAATGAAAAGAATTTTCCACTGATCCCTTGTTCACTTGGCCAGAGTGAAGATCCTTCAGAAATGCCCAATCCACCCCTAGGATTAGAGTTGAGGCAGCAGAGAAACAAAGCATAGGAGTCCAGCTGTGGGCAGTAGTCCAAAGACTCTTAAGGGAGACCTAAGGCTGCAAGAGGAATTTCCTCAAAAGAAGTTTGTCATCCAGGCCACAGCTGTCCTTTGTTGTCTCATTTTCCTAGGACTTCTTCTTGTAGGATATCATGTTTATTTCCATGAAAACACTTGCTGAGAACTACGAAGAGCAGATGTGTCATGATGCCTCGTTATGTGCAAACTGAAAACAAAATTGCAAACCATTCTATAGAAAATGCTCTCCAGTTGGAAAATAAAAGTTGAAAAGAAATTTCATGTAACATTATGGAATACAAACTGTGTATTAAAGGGGCCTTTTGAATTTGAAATCAAGTATGTAAGAGGTAACAGAACATAAGACTCATAACACAGGAGCTAGTGTGAATTCTTAATGAATTAGGATTCTTAATGACTTGTAAGAGAGGAATGGAAGGAGTATGAGGTTTCAATTGCAATCTTGAGCACAGCAAGTAATTTAAAAGTAAGCAGTGACTTTGTGGGAGTCATCTATGAATACACATGCTGGTGGTAATTCAAGAAAATCCCCAGAATATGAAATTGAAGGAAGTAAGCCTAGTCTAAAAGCACCTATCCTAGCTCAGAGTGAACTGTAGAAATAAATAACAGAACTGGTAATTTTTTACTGCTTCTGTAAAAACCCCGCATCTAAGAATTGAAAAGAAACTTACTCAGAATTGAGAAATTCTCAGATTTTTGGAACTTAAAGTTTCAAATCCAGATTTTGTGTTCTGGACCCAGTTAGGTTGGTTAGTTTTGTCTTCAGATTCATAATGCCTGATGAATACACTGAAAAATAACCTTCTTTCTCTACTACATTTTTCTGAGGACAATAACCCTGAAATATATCTCTTGATATCAGTTAGTTCTTCCTTTATACTGATAAAATTAGCTAACACCTCGTAGGGGCTTCATAAGCATGGCAATGTTTTCCTAATGTAGCTGAGGCA